CTTTCTTGGTCTCAGTTATCTCACCTGTAAAATGAGTGCTTTTAAAATGTTATACAAAGTATGTATTGGTTAAAACTTCCTATGATTCTAGAGGGGAGGTGCAGTAGACACTGGTTTTTTACTTTTTGTTTAGTCAGCATCTATTTTCCCTATTTTTTCATAACAGAAATCTCAGTTTTGTGCAAGTTATTGCCCACCTCTACGTAGGTGTGACTACTGGGAAGCAAGTATTCCACAGGTGAATCTAACTGGTCTGTGTGTAGACTGTTTCTCTTGTCAGTGATTGTTTCAGGAATAATCATGGAATAAACATTCATCTGTTTAGAAGGTATGCTTTTGAGAAAAAATTCCCTTCTCCGAAGACAGAATCACAAGAAGACAAATTTCTCATCTTCTGTCCACTGTCATATTGATGATCATCCTCCCATTCTGAGGATGACAATAATGTTGAAGATGATAGTGTTAAGAAATGACAAGAACTGGAGTTCTTGAGCTGATGTACAAACCATGTAACCCATCATATTATTATTCCTTTGTCATATCTATAATTTGTGACTGAAATTATGATTTTTTTTCTAGTTATACAACAGTTACTATTGATACTAGATTTAAGATATAAAAGATAATGATGATGGAAATGTTCCAAGGTAGTATTGATGATTACAATTGTTAAATATGTGTGTCCAATTGGGATTTTGTGGTAGAGTATTGATGAAGAAAGAATGTTTCAAACCTTTAAAGGTGGATGTGATTAGGTTATGTATGAGGAAGTGGTAAACATCTGTTATTTGTATTTGTTTAGCATTTATTTTTTCTTCTTCTTCTGTAGTATATTTTTATTCTCCTCTGAGGAACCACTTTTCCCTTACCCTCAGTCCATGTGGTCTGTGTGGAGGTGACATACTCTGAGCTCCAGAGAATGGTGAATGACCTAGATTTTAGGTCATTTTACTAAGTGGGCAAATATACCCTTGGTCACCATGCTAATTCCATGATGGGTATAGCAATGAATTCAATGGTTTTGTGCTCATAATGAGACTCAATACTGAAGTTTTTGGCAGGGACAAGTGAAAAATAGAATTGCTTTTTCCTCTATGGTTGTTATGCTGGGAGTGATATTCGTTAGGTGCTTCTGGTGTTCATCTTGGTATCATAAGAGAAAGTCTACTTGAGAGCAAAACAAACCAAGAACAAAAGCAGAGCCATGAGTTGCAAAGATGAAGAGATTAAGTTCCAATGACAATTTTTAAACTCCTTGATTTAATTATGGAGAAGGCAAATGTACTTTTCAATTATATAAGACAATAAATCTCTTCCCCCCACTTTTTATTTTAATTTATATTTGTTTTGTTTTTTGAGACAGGGTCTTGCTATAGTTCAGCCTGTCCTTGAACTCACTGTGTAGCCCAGGCTGGCCTTGAACTCGAGGTGATCCTCCTCCCTCAGCCCCGCCAAGTGCTTTGATTACTGGCATGGACCACCATGCCCAGCTACCTACTTTTTAAAAGTTAATTGATCTTAGTTTTCTTTACAGGCCAAGAATATCCGTTAAGATAAGAATTTCATGAGGGCAGAATCATGGATTAACACTTTTGCCATTTGAAACTTGAAGTTTACATGTAAATCTCTTATAGTTTTAGAGGAGGAAAGACATTTTGTACTTATTACTTTCTGTAGCTGAAGTCTGTGTGAATCAAAATGACAAAAGACGGATTAACAAGAAAAGAGCATATAAACTTATTTGATATTAATATTTTTATGTGGCACAAGGAGCTTTGAAGAAGGAAGTGAAAATTCCAAGGAAGCAATTAGACCCTGGGTCTTATATAAAATTCTAAAAAGAGCAGTAAATAATGAGTAAGTGGAAAGATTTTTTAAAAAGGAGTCTTGGCTAGAGGTAATAAATTATGAGAAAGCAACAACAAAATATATAGAGGAAACTAAGGCAAAAAAGGGTTATTTTAGGAAGAGTTGTTTGTACAGACTTACCTTGGTATTGATTCCCCATCTTCGGTGATAAAAATGTTCACCTCCTCCTGGTACAAGAAGGTCACTGTTCTTATGAGAAGATATGCTTCAATTTAAGGTAGAAAGGAAGAGGGCAGAAAGTCCTTCCTGAATCTGTTGTTTTCCAGTGTTTTGCAGCTCAAAATAATCAAAATACCAAAGTGACAAATTTCCGAGTGGTATGTCCTAATACTTTTCACAGTCTATCTCAAAAGGAGAAGTTCAAAATATACAATATTGCTCCTGTTAGTTTATGTTAATGTTATCACATCTCAGAATGAAAGGTTGCAGTGGTCACTGTGACTTTCTAATGGAGGAAAAAGTCACCTAAACACTTTACATTTTCTATTCATTTTATTATATATTAGTGCTATGATTTGAAAATGATTTTTGGTCCCCAATAGTCCACTGTGACTAAAGGCTTGGTCTTCTAGGGGGTATTATTGGGAGATAGTAAAACCTTTGGGGGTGGAGCCTAGTGAGAGATCTATAGGTCATTGGAAAATGCCCTTGGAAAAAGTTGTGGGTGCTCAGTGTTTCAGTGGTTGTTTGGCAGTGTAAATTCTCCCACAAATACACACAAATGTCCCTGCCATGATGTGCCACCATCCCCACCTTCACCATACTCCAACCTGGTCATGGACTCTGAGCCTCCAAAACTATAAGACAGGTAAACTTCCTTCTCCTCATAAATATCTAATGATGAAACGCTAATACAATTATTTTTTATTAAATGCGTACATATACACATTTTAAGAGAAAATGAAAATATTACAGAGATAGTTTTAAGATCAGGCTAAAATCCACATCTATTCACCAGTCAATCTTCTTTCATGTACATATTACTTCTGAGAGAGAAAAAAAAGCTTCATTCCAAACATCTGTATATTTACACTATAATCCTCTTCTCTGCTGGATTTACTTTGGATTTAGCTCTCAAAGACATGCTCTAAAGTCTTTAATTTAAGCTTAAAAAACAAATAGACTTCAGGTATCCAGGCTTTATTCTAAATTCTAGGGAAATGCCACTTGGTTACCCTTTTGAAAAATTTAACAAGAATAATTTCATCTTTCAATATGCATTTAAAATTTATTTCTACATTCTTTCTGACTATTATCTGCTTAAAAGATATTGGTGTGGTTTGTCTAACATTATTTTCAAGGAAAGAAAAAGGTGACTTCCTGGGGTTGTCAGTAACTACAGCATTTCTCCCTTTCTCAAATCCCAGGATAATCCTCTCTGAGGTTTGATAGAGTTTATAGAATTATTATGACATTCAGAGTGCTCTCAGGGCTCTGAGCCACAGAAAGTATTTTTTCCAATATTATAATTTGTCTGTGATCTTTTTACTGCTAGGTCCTCTGAAGTACTCAAGAAGACAAGGTCAACATAGTTGATACTTTTGTTTTGTTCTGAGAAGACAATGTGTAGACCTTAGAGGTCAATAATACTGAATTCACTGTTTCCTCTTTATACCATTTCTAGTGAAAGACTCCAGAAGGATTTATTGCTTCATATATACATAGCTTATCAGGTACTTTGTCACTCTTACAGCAATATTTACCTATTTCCCAAATACCTGGATCTCCTACATCTAGGTGTAATATTTAGGATTACATTACACTAGGTGTAATACAGCTGGTTCTTAGATTTGAGTTTGGCCCCAGAGTTCTGCTGTAGTGCCGCAGCCTCTATAGTTCCTGAAAGGTGCTGATGTTAGAGGAGAGGTGGGATGTGTGAAAAGGCCCATGGAGCAGACAAAGAAACTCTAGACAACATTTATAGAGTTACACTGCATATCACATTCATTAACAAGTTGGCAAGGAATTACTTTATTTCAGAGCTAACACCTCAGAGCTCAGCACTACAGAAACAGGATTTAAATGTGAGAATATAGGAAGTATGGAAGTTCTGGGCACTTCCCAAATCTATTTGAAATACTAAGAAAGGCAGTGCTGGACACCAATGGAATATGGATTACAAGGGAAGAGGACATAGGAGAGGCTTCAGAGGTAAAACAATTCCAAATTCAGGTCACGGTGTCTCATAATTTTGCCTAACAGTGGCTTGCTTTCAGAGCTAACCCCTTCAGTAAAAGGTTAATGCAGAACTACTTTGAGGTTACTCCTCTCCACATGGTGATACCTGTCCTGAATGGTTTTGTTTGTTTTTGTGGTCATCTCTGAGTTTTCCCATATCCTACATGTACAGGAGCAGTTTCATGCTGCAAGTTGTTGTAGATTGGTAAGTAAAATTAAACAATAATGTTCACATTTTAGGTCAGAACATTTATATTTCTTCACTCTAATGAAGAAACCCAGTAATTTTCTTTTTGCTTCAATGGAACTTATGCCTATAAGACATTTCAAGAAACATTCTTCCTTGCAGCCTCAGATTTCTTTTGACAGCTAGCTTTCTATCAGACCTCTATTAGCAAGGCACAAATAGTTGTCTCATTATCTGGTATTAGAGTGGACCCTTGACTTATGAACTCAATCATTTCCCAAGGGCTGGTTGTAACTAAACCAATACAGCTGAGATCTAGATGTTTACCTGGGAGCACGCTTTAGATAACAAGAGGCAGTTGAATCTTCTGTTAACCTAATTAATCCAAGTTGTTGGTATGTCAGGCTGGTTGTAACTTGAGGGTCCATTGTATTTGGAAAAAGTAATTGTTCAAAAAAAGAGAATATGCAGACAGACTGAGCTTTTTTTAAGAGTAGGAAAATTTATTAAGAGAAAGATAGCTTCTAAGAGAGTCAGAAGGGGGACTGGAAAGTGGATTGCCTGCCCACCCCACTTTTCAAAGATGTTTTATACAGCCATGTCATGTGGTGAGGTGGGTATAAAGTGGGACAAAACTATAAGGCCCAATGGAAATTTACAAGGCAGGCATGAGGTGGGACAAAACCATGGCCAACCAATAAGATTATAAGTACAGTCACCCAGGTAATATTGATCCAATGAGAGAAATCACAAGGTGGACAAAACTATGAAAACCAATAAGATTATGACAAGTATAGTTGCTTAGGTAATACTGATTAAATAGGGATCCAATGGGGAAACAAGTCACATAGCAAGCATACAAAGAATGAGCAAGGATTTTTAGTGGAAAAGGGTGGGTCAAGGATCTTTCCTGGAAGATCTTTGTCTCCCACCCATGTGGCTGATACCTATTTATCCTTAGGGGAAGCACCTGGGTGTAGTAGTTTCTCTTCTCTTACAATGCTGGCCTTCAGTGAATGTGTCTTGATTGTCTGCCATGTTGGCTCCTCCTGGGCTGGCTCTGTCTATCTGCCTACAAGATATCTAATAAACTTACCTATCTGCAATATTCCCCCCTCTGAAGAACCTCTAACTGGTGTGAGGGGGCAAAGAGCAAAGACCATTCTGGCTACTTCTGGCTGAAGTTGTGATCAGTTGTAGTTGTGATCAGCAGTCAGTTACTCTACAGAGGGTCTATCTAAAGGCCCTCCATAGGTGCCAGGCGTTGTCATTTTGGGTAGGCTTATAGCATGGAATCTGGAGGAGACAAATCCAAAGGAACAGTTAAGAATACATGGGCCATCTCATCATGCACTAAACTAAAATCAAAATGGATTAAAGATCTAAATATAAAAATAGAAAATCTGAGCCAGCTGGAACACAGATCAGGTAGAACTCTTGAAGACAGTGGTGTAGGAAAAGATTTTATTAACAAAACCTCAGTTGCCCATGAACTAGCGCAAACAATCAACAACTGGAATCTCTTCTTATTAAAAAGCTTCTGCACAGCAAGAGAAACCACCAGCAATGTGGAAAAAATTTTCACCTGCTGTTCCTCAGACAAAAGTCTACTATCCAGACTCTCTGAAGAACTTAAAGAAATCAGACCTCCAAAATTTAAAGACCCAATCCAAAAATGGGCATCTGAAGTGAACAGACATTTCTCAGACAAAGAAGTAGAAATAGCAAATAAATACATGAAAAAATGTTCAACATCACTGGTCAATCGAGAGATGCAAATGACAACAATGTTGAGATTCCACCTCAGTCCAGAAAGAATGGCTGCTATCATGAAATCAACCAATAACAAATGCTGAGTAGTTTCTCTAGTGTGAGAAACTGAAAGTGTAAATAAGGACTAAAAGGTATAATGGATAATGTGAAATAGGAAGAAAAGGGGCAAAGGGGAAGGGGAAGTAGGAGGGGTAAGGAAAAGGAAAGAAGGGAATGGAAGTAATATGAGAAAATGAAAAACTAGAAACAAAGTCTTTGTAAATAGAGAGGGATGGAGGGGTTGAAGGGAGGGCAGGGGAATGGCCAAAAATAAGAACCAAGAGAAATTAGGTAAAGGTGCAAATTTTCAATGATGAATGTCATCATATTTTATACCTAAAATGTACCAATAAAATAAAATTTAAAAAAAAAGAATACATGGGCCAAATTATAACGTCAGCAGGATTGCTATGAATATAACCAACAAGTATTTCCACTGGGAGGAACTAGTAATAGCATCCCACAAAGAGGATAAGGGGAAGGTTTAGGTGACTTCAGAATCCAACATAGAAGTTGTATTGTGCAGTTTAGCAATTATGAGCTGTTTACAAGGTTGATCTGGTGAATCCCATTAAAAGAAGTCTAGCACGTTTGTCATTGATTTCATTTGTATGACTGCTTGGAGTTTGACAGCCTCTAGGCAAGAATAAACAAAACTTTTAAGAAATTAGAGTGTGCATAATCTAAGCATGAGCACACTAGAATGAAAGGGCAGGTTGGGGAGAAAGTAACACTTAGAAATTGAAATAGTGATTGTAACCTGCTGGCTCTTAGATTCTTTCATTGATAGAGGTTATCTCTAAGTCTGATACTTTGTCATAAGTCTCTCTAGTTTTAGTTATAAGAGACAATTTGAAGAGCAAATTTTGCTAAGAAGTATAAAACTCTAGCTGAGCTCTTATAGATTCTACCATAGTTTTTTCTAATGATCCATAACCACGGTCAGCTACTGGTGTAGGTGTAAACTGCCAGGAGGGGTTATCAATTGGAACCCCTTTTATATCTAGCTTTATTACTATGACATGATTTTTATACCTCTTTTAGTTTTTTCTTTTCTGCTGGGCATTTAAGACCAAGTTAAAGTGAGACCTGTGTCAATCAATATGAACCTCTTACTGTCTATCAAGGTCAGTTAAGTCTCCTCAGGCATTACTTTGGAACCATGCATACAGGCTCTCTGCTCCTCGCAGACAGACTGATTTAATAATTTGTATATCAATTTTGCCTGATGTTAATATATAAATTAACTTCCAAAGCACATTCTGAATAGTGTATAAACTGTGGAATGGTTAGATAAAACCAGGCATATAAAGTCTCTCCACGTACTAAGTAATTTCCCATAGCTTAAAATAGAAAAAGAGCCTAAGATTCTGAAAACATATGAGACTACCTCACTGTGCAATAGAATTCAGAGCCATTCCCAATCAAAAGCTTTGTTTGATGTTTCGGCAAGGAACTCTTGCCAAACAGGTCAGCAGAAGGCAAGAAATGCAAGCTCTGGAAGATGTGCCTACATGTCCAGGCATGCCAAGTCCTGCTCAGCTATTTAATACTCCTGTTCTACTTGTTTGATGTTGAATATTAATATGAGCAGAGGCATCCATGTCTTATTTCTTATCTTCATGGAAATATTTCTAAACTTTCAATGTTTAGACAAATATTTGCTGATAATTTTTAATGGATTCACCCAATTAGGTAGAAAAAAATTTCTTCTGCTGCTTTTTTGGGGGTACCAGGGTTCAAGCTCAGGACATTGCTCTCATGTGGGCACCACTGAGCCAAATCCCTGGCCCTTCTTTTGCATTTTTGAGTTTGGGTTTTTTTTTCCTGTTTTATTGAGAGAAGCAGGATTTCTCTGCCAACTTCTTAATATGATAAATATATTTTAGTTTTATAGATTTTTCTGATGCTAAATCATCTTTGCCTTCCTAATATTAATTTTTGGTCACAATTCACATACACAAATTTAATTACATATGACATTTTTAGAACTTTTTAATTCACTCATTTAACAAATATTCACTGAGTACTTCCTATGTGCCAGGCACACAGGTAATAAAGGTACAATAGTGAACAAAAGAAATTTAAAATTAATCTTCACCACTGTAGATTATATTAATGGAAGCAACTAAAAAGCAGGTATAATAATAGTATGTTAGATAGTGATCACTATTAAAGAAATGAACAAGAGAAAAGGCATGTGAAATCTGTGAGAAGGATTGAAATTTAAAGTGCAGCCAGAGAAGTCCTCACAAAAGGTACATTTAAAGACAGGTCTGTTGGAAGTGAGGGAATCTGGCTATTCAGCTCTCTGGGTGAAGAATATTCCCAGCAGAGGAACCAGGAGTTAAACAATATTGAGGCAGCGACAATTCTGACAAGCTTGAAAAATAATTTGTTATGGTCTTTTTCCAGAAAATAGCTCATTTCATTGAAATGTTTAAATTTATTAGAATATAAATACCTATAATTCCTTGATTATTATTTAAAATGGTTGTATTTTCAATCCTAATATTGCTACTTATTTATTTTTAATTGTTTCTCTTTTTGCATTAATAATGGTTTTTATTTCTTCCTTAATTTTAGTTTTTTATTTTTTTGTATGTTTTGTTTTGGTACGGGGAATTGAACTCTGGTCATTGCGCTTGTGAGGCAGGTGGCGGAACCACTGAGCTAAATCCCTGGCCTATATTTTTTATGTTTTTAAAAGCAAAATATTTATTGACACATTTTAGATATACATAATGGTAACATGCATTATAGGGAATTTGCATCAGAACCACTGAGCTAAATCCCCAACCTCATCATAGGAAATTTGTATTTGTGCATGATATATCTTGCTTCAATATTTTGTTGCTTAAACTGAAAATTAAGTCCATAGCTATTTGCTCTATTATAATTTTTAGATAGATGCATTAGACAAGGATATTTATTACTTATTAATAATACATCTAAAGTGTTTTGACCCAGGTCAAGAATTTTAAAGATGTTTATTTTTAAGTTTTTATTAGTATAAAATGATTACATTCATTGTGGGGTGCTGGTATATGTGCACAACACATTTTCCATCTCTTTGTTTCTTGCATTTGTTTGTTTTTAAAGACTAGATCTCCATATGTTCCCTTGGTTGATCTTGAATTTCTGGGCTCAAGCACTCTCCTGACTCATCCTTCCCAAGGAAGAAAGTGAGGAGAGGAACTAGAATCCTTGAATGGAAACTGAAACATTCCACATCTTTCAATTTCACAAATAATGAAATCTTTTGTTTCTCATGATGGAAAATACTTTTTGTGAAACTACCTTCCCAAGGAGAGTGGCAACCAATTATGGATAATGCTTGTCTTGCTGCTTAGACTTGACAAATAGCAGCAATGAGAGGTTCCTGAGTTTAGTTCTTTAAGTTAGGAATTTCAACTTAAATGTCTAGTCACTAGACTAGCAGCTTTAAGCTGCTTACAAGGATCACAGCAGTGGCATCATACTTGTTTAGCAGAATAGTGTAGTGTAATATCATCAGGCTGCCTGGGTTTGGACCCAGGCTCTGTCACATAGTCCATGTGAGTTTGGACAAGTTACTTAACTTTAGTTTCTTCATTAAATAATGAAAATAGTAACTGTAGCTTGTTAATAAGGAAGTTGTGAAGAGTAAATTAGATAATCCATAGAAGTTATTAGCATAATATGTACTATTGAGCCCTCAATAAATGTCCATTGTGATTATAACTAGAGCAATTATTAGCATCATTGTGTGAGGTACAAGTGAGCTCCCATTTCCTCTGTCCCTTCAGAACGCCTGGGTAGTAGTAGTATTACCTAGAATTAATAAGGCTGTGTTGAAATCTTCTGATTCAAACCCCATGCCCTTAGCCATCATCCTTTTCTGACAGGTTTAATAGAGAGTGAATAAAAGAAATAGTTCAGGAATTCTGGTATCATCCTACTAGATCGGGTATCCAATAATGAAAAACAAAATTAGAATGCTGTGACATTTTTCATGTTGTCTCTGTTACTGGTATTTGAACTGCTCAATGCAAGTCTATAAGATGTTCTACAAACTTCTCTGAAAACACTTTTTTTTTTTCCTTAGCTTCTTTCATAGGTACATTTTAGGTATACAATTCATTTACATTTATCATTGGGTGCTTGTACCTGTTCATGATGTATCTTGGTTCTTATTTTTTCCTCATTCCCTGTGCACCCTTCACCCCCTCCACCCTTCTGTATTTACATAGATTTCATTTCCATTTTTCTTCTTTTCTCACAGTTTTTCCTTTCCCTTCTTTTCTTTCCCCTTCCCCTCTCTTCACCCCTATGTCTTTGGACCTTTTTCCTATTTCAAATTATCAATTATTCAATTTAATCATTTTAACCCTTATTTACACTATCAGTTTCTCACACTAGAGAAACTATGTGGTATTTATACATGTGTGTCCTATTTATTTCACTTAAGAGTATGGCCTCAATATGCATCCATTTAGCTATACATGACTCTAGTTTTTCATTCTTTATGGCTGAGTAGTACTCCATTTTATTAAAAAAGCCACATCTTCTTTATCCAGTTTCCAGTTGATGGGCACTTGGGCTGCTTCCAAGCTTTAGCTATTACAAACTGTGCCTCTATGAACATGGGTGCAGATATATCACCATGGTTTAATTCTTTGGGGAAGATACCCAGCAGAGGAATAGCTGGGTCAAATGGGACCTCTAGTCCTGGTTCTTTGAGGTATCTCCATACTGATTTCCACAGTGGTTGCACCAGCCTGCACTCCCACCAGCAATGGAGAAGGGTTCCTTTCTCCCCACACCCCCGTCAGCATTTGTTATTGGCTGATTTCATGATAGCAGCCATTCTTTTTGGGGTGAGGTGGAATCTTAGTGTTGTTGAAAACACTTCTTGAAATTTATGCTTTTTTTTTAGTCCACAAAAAAGTGCATATTATATTAAGCATCATATTTACTTGAAGCAAGATATCATTTGGCATTGAACTATCCAGCATGAGGATATTTTCTGGAACATTAAACAATTATTGATAACAACTATGCTAGTTTTGCTTAAATGAAAGACAGCATGAAACAACCACACTGTCACATCTAGCAAAGAACAATGGCATTCATTAAATTCTGGGGATTACTGTGTCAGAGGTACAGATTTTTTTCAGCAAGCATTTACCCCGAAGGATAGTCTCTTTTGAAAAAAAGAAAACAATAAGACTGAGGGACAGTGAGAAAGAGAGAAAAAGCGAAAAGGAAGTTCTGATTATTAGGTATATACAGACCATGCACTACTCCCTTTACAAACTACAAAACTTACAGTATTATCCAAGCAAATTATTCCAAGTGCCATCATTTCATGACTATAAAATTATAAGCAACACTAGAGATAGAAATTGCATTTAATAAAAATTTTGTAGTTAAAGTTGTTTCAGTAACTGTATCAATATAAGCAGTAATATGTAAATTATACCCTAGCAGGGAGTGGGGAGCTCCAAAAAGGATCATCAAGAAAAGAAGAACAAGACAAAAAAAGAAGAGCATCTAGACAGGGCAAAGGTAATGATTTCCCCTTGGGCCCTCTCAACTCAAGACCTACTAAAGTGAATACTAGAACTGTTCTAGATATTACTTGTAGTTTGTCATGTTATGAATGGTTGCTTAGATTGACAGTGGAGTAAGAATATGTGATACAGCATTTATCTTTTTATTATCAATATAAAATCTTGGGTAAAAGGCCTCCTTTAGGCATTGTAAGTGGAGCCAGGATGGAGGTGGGTAAGATTCATCTGATAATTTCAGTACTTATTTATTATGCTTGCAAACTTGATAGAGATAAAACAAGTTCCAATGCCCTAAAGCATCCAATTTATATGAGTGATTAACTTTTCTCCTTTGCATCTAGAATACTATTAGCTATGTGCCATCATCTTTGGAAAAAAATGGAAGATAATATTCAAGTCAATTTTTGGTAAAGTTTAATTTTCTTGTAGAACTCCATTGAAGAGGCCATTAGTAAACATCTTCAAAGGAAGACTTGTCCCACGTAGTTTCACTGATGAACTAGGATATGTTAAGCTATTGTTTCTTGGTACTGGTACTTTACTAAGTTGCATCAGAAAAGTCTTTAAACTATGTGGTACTAACTTTGGACCCAGAAGGTATGGGTTAAAATTCTGGTTCTGCCACCTTCAGGTGGTTTGATTTAGGGAAAGTTACTCATCTCCCACCTATGACATGTAACACGTATGATATTATAATCCTGCTTGCCTTGTAGGTTTGCAGAGGTGATTTTATGAGACAAGTGTACAACAGATCTCACTCAGCATCGAACAAATGTTATTATTAACTACTGCACATGGCAGCCCTGAGTACCTCACTGCAAGCTTTCCTCTAGGGGAGACTAGAACAACAGAGAACCATTAAATATGTCACCTATGGAGCCATCTGGTATTGATTTTTTAGTTGCACATCCTAGAGAGTCACTAGGATCATAAATAAAGGAAGCAATAATTCTCCTCTGACCACTCAGCTGCTAAAATGAAGGGACCTGAAATTTTACACTCTCTTGAGTAACACGGAGAAAGCCTTCTAATAGGGTACCTGTTGCTTGTTTTGTGACTGTTAGCTAAGAAGAGAGGAGCATTTGATATGCCAGAGGGCTTAACACTATCCATTAGCATTGTGGTCTCCTTGGGTTCTTGTCATAATCTACAGTGGTGTTTTATGAAAGAATTAACCCCAAGTAGCTTTTACAGCAATAAAATAACATGCTGTGGAAGTCTTGCTCACTTTCTGCATGTGTTTTACTGCTATGTAAGACATGAGGAATGAGAAGATTAAAAAAGAAAAGGCTTAAGGAAAAGCAGAGAGAAGATGGACAAAGAAAAGAGGGAGAAGGATATATTGATCCTATTTTTTATTTCAACTAAATATATATTTTCTAAGTCTTTTTCTGACTACAATAAAATTTTTTTAAATGAAATAACGGTTGTCTTTTTCTGATTATAAAATAACAAATAATATGAAAAGCATAAAGAAAAATTTTAAATTCCCCATAACACTACTAACCAGACAGAGATATTTGTAATATCTTGTATATTTCCTTATAATATGTATTCTGTGTATACGTGAAGATCATATTGAACATATAATTTTATGTTCTCCATCCTTAAATTATCATTGTTAGGTACATTTCTTCAGGTTATTGAAAAGTCTTTTCTATGCTTTTCTTTTTAAAAGAAAAGGTCTATGTTGCCCAAGTTGGTCTTGAACTCCTGGGCTCAAATAATCCTCCTGCGTCAGTTTTCCAAGTCTAAACTTATACATGTGTGCCAAAAACAAAAAGTTGTTCAAAGATAAGATTTGATTAATCTTCACACCACACACAAGAATAAACTACAAATGAACAAAACATTTAAATGTTAAAAAACTGATTTTCCTTATAACCCGTGTTAAGGGAATACTATGTATATACGACTTAGAGTTCAGAGGTAATAAAAAAATTGAGGTTTCATTACATGAAAATCAAAACCTTTTGCATGGCAAAAAAAAACAAGCAAAAAAAGCAAACAAATAGAAACCCCACATAGACAAAGGGCACACAAACTAATAGTAAATATTTGCAAAACATATCACCACGACTTTTCAACAGTGTGAATTTTTAAAAATCTCTCACTATGTTGCCCGGGTTGGCCTCAAGGGACTCCTGGGCTCAAGCAATCCTCTTGCCTCAGTGTCCTGAGTGGCTGGGACTACCAGTGTGCACCCCAAGCCCCACTGTAATTTAATATATTCTATGATCTACAGAATTATAAGATAGCTTGCAAGGTTCTCATCTCCTGGCTTAAAAACCCTATACTTTCTTTGTTGGATATTGTTGAAACTCATGAATCTGATGGGATGTTGCTCCTTGGTTAGGTTATATGAGCATAGTTATTCCCATCATTATGTTATATTATATGTGAGTTTATAGAGAGATTAGGAGGATTTTCCTGCTGGCTTCAAAGGCGCAAATTGCCATATTGACTTCTAAAAACTATACATTATAGCTTGGCTTTCCAACATATATAAAATATAAAACATGTACTATACATAAAATATACCTTTCTGCTTGCTGTAAAGGCCCTCAAGCAATGCCATCCCAATAACAATGTACATATTTAATACATAGATCTTGATTCCTAAATATTCTTACCTTCCAAAGAAGATAGGGCTCCATAGAAAAATGGCCGGTTCTATGGCTGGCATGGAGGAGGTGTTAATATGAACTTCGAACATCTTATTGTGCCTAAGGAGGTAATAAAAGCAACAGCCATGTCAAAAAGAAACAGGAGTCACCTTAAACATTTACATAAATAAGAATATTGATGTATAATAATTCATTGAATAAAATAAGAGTCTATGAGTCTGAGCTAATGAATAAGAGAAAGAAGGAGGGATAGAGGGAGAATGAGAGAGTATAGAGGAGGGAAAATATTCCCTACAGTTGAAAGCTAATAAATACAGAAAGAATAAAGAAATGATGGAGTCAGAAAAGTTACAATTTTGAAGCTATAATAGTAAATAGTGTCACAGGCAATATTCATCAGTAGATCCTAAATCTAAAGCGGAAATGTTTGATGATGCACAGAAGATTTACAGTATCTCAAAGTATCTCCCTACAAATTTAATTTCAAAAGGAGAAAAGTAACTATGGTAGAGAAACCAGACAATTGTTTAACCAAATAGTCAAAATTAATCTCAACAATTTATTAACAATTTCTCAAGAAAAGCACTCCATCACTAATGTGGTATTTCAGCTCAAAATACATAATCTGAATTTAATCAAAAGGAAATTGAGGAACATTCAGTAAAACAATTTCCTGTCTCCTATGGTTATATCAATGTCATAAAAGACAAAGGCTGAAGAGGTCATTCAGATTAAGAAAGTGCAGGGAGGCATGACAGCTAAAAGCAATGTGTCATCTTAGACTAGATCTTATGTTGGGGAAAACCTACTATAAAGGGTATAAAGGATGTTATTGAGACTGTACATCATTGTAATATGGACTGTAGATTAGATAAAAGTATTATATCAATGTTAAGTTTTTAAAATTAAATAATTGTAGTGCGGTTATGTAAGAGAATGTCTCTGGTCTTAGGAAAATAGAAAGGATGAAAAGGCGTAGTGAATACAATCTACTCTCTAATGGTTCTGGTGGGGAAAAGATGAGATCTAAAAATTTAGTGAATGTTTAAACTAAAAAGAAGTTAATTGCAGTAAAAGGCACAATACTACTCCCTCAAAATACTCCCCTTTTGCTTCAAACACACTTATTCCATTGTTCTTACCATTTTCTGAAGCATTTCTGGAAGTCCTTTTTGGTGTATTTAGTTGCACTCTTACGGCTGCCCTGATGTCCTGAATGGATTCAAAACACTTACCTTTCCTGGTCATTTTGGGTTTGCAGAAGAGCCAGAAATAGCATGGTGCCAGATCTAGTGGAGAAGGTGGAGGAGGACGCACTGTAATGGTTTTACAGGCCTGTCTTTCCACTGCATTGGATGGCACGCAGCAGCAGCATTCACTATATTTTTTATCATACCGTGTAAAGTACACTCATGAAAGAGGATTTCCAGAACTGCTTCAAAAAGCAGCGAGAAAAATGGGATAAGTGTGTTCCAAGTGAGGGCAAATCTTTTAAGGGGAATTAATGGCAATGTGTCTTTTACTGTAATAAATTTTATTTAAATGTTTACCGTAGTTTTGTCAGCCCTTATATTTCACACACACACACACACACACACACACACACACACACAGAATAATAAGGAAAACATACTAAAAAATTAAATTTAAATAAATGGTTTATGCTATTACTTTCATAAAAGTTAAAAATCTTTTCAAAATGAAATGTAAAGTAAAAATATGAAATTTAAAGTAAGATTTTTAAAATTAAAAATTCTTTTCATATGTCATTTATATTAGTTACAAAATATTCTACCTTATAGTTGTACTATAAATCTTTATTTTGTGATTGTTTATTTTTAATTTTTATTGTAATAAATAATATAATGATATCTTATATATGGGTCTTTGTAGCTCTGTTTATTTCTTTAATATATATTCTTTTAAGCCAAATTACTGAAATAAAACTTTTTAAAACTTTTTAAAGGTTACTGACATATATTGCCAGAAAGCTTCTGGAAAGTCTATATACATTCATCTAGTTATTCATTCATTTTATTCACTGGTTCTTACCAATTTACAATGTTTTACCTACTCATATCCCTCCTAAATACTGAAAATAACTTTTCTTAATATCTTCTAAATATAGGCAAAGCTTCTATTTTTGTTATTAAATAAATTATATTGATTATTTTTATTTGTTCTGGGATATTTCTACCTATATTCTCTGCCCATTTTTAGGGATGTCATGGATTTTGGTTTGTTTGTTAGGTATTATTTCTTTATACAGAGGCAATATTATTACTTTTCCACTTTTATTGCAGAAGATGAGTGGTTTTAATTCCATAGTACTAATCCTAACATGGATGTGCAGGCTGAGCAGAGAAGTGTTATAGGCTGCAGGAGTCTTAGTTAGCAGGGCTGACTGGGCCAAGGGTTCTATGATAGGAAAAGAGAGGGTCTAAACACACTTGAAGACTAGGGAAAAATCTTCCCTAGAAGGTACAATGCACAAACCAAATTAATCCTGTGGCAAGTGGCCAGGGCAGCTGCCCCTGGCACACAGGGCTGAAAATGCCTCCTCCACAAGAATGCAAGTCTTATCTCTAGGTGAAACCTACTCTCCTTGTAGCAGCAGTGTACTAGATGTGTGGGAATGAACAGGGTTTGAATATGCAAAGTGGAAAATTTTATCAGTTATGAAAGGAAGAATTCAGCAACATTTCTAATGTCACTCTCTGAGAGAAGTGGCAGCTTGCACGGATAGATTCTACTTCCCATCCCTACCACAGGTGTCCCACAGGTGTGGTATATTTATAGATGACAGACAGCTAACCAAGTGGGAGTGGCATTCTGGTGAGGCTGGTATCAAGAGCTTATGCCACCTTAGGAGATGCTGCTGAGAGTCTGCTATGATCTTTCGCAACAGCAACTTTGAGACCCTGTTATGTAGTTCTTTCTTTTTTTTCTCCTAGAATAATGGCTTTAGATTCTGAGCATTGACTTCACCCTCCACCCAGCGCACCCATTGGTATGGGATGGTTCTGTGTCAATGTCTTATGTCCCATTGACTTTTTTTTTGGTACTGGGGATCGAACTCAGGACCTCGCACTTGCAAGGCAGGCACCAGAACCACTGAGCTAAATCCCCAGCCCTAGTCCAATTGACTCCTCATGATGAAGTCTGGTTGGTAAGAGAAGACTGCAACTTTGAAGCTCCTAAATGAACAGCCTCCACCTGGAGAGAGACAGCTAAAGCTTCAGCAATCGAGGGAACTTCAGATCTGCCACAGCATTGCAAATGTTAGGCTGGCCAGAAGCACAATTACTGTGCAATTTGATTTCTTTGAACTTTAACTCAGAAGAACCAGTGAATCTAATTTCTGACATAAAATCATCAAGAGCTTTATATTTTTTACTTTAATATGAAAGGACCTTAACCTTCAGACTTAAATTTCTCCTTAGAAATTTGATATCAGGAGGTTCATTTATATGAAAATATTGGGCACCTGTATGCTATTTTTGGAGTGCTTTAATAGAATTGTTTATCTCATTACAAAGGCCTCTGCTAGGATGTGCTGAATAACATGGCTGCACATAACTTGGAATCAGACACAGAATGAGAATATACTTCTCATAATCTTGGAACCAATGTAGTTCATGGAAATCACCATATCAAAGTGCTTTTTATGGGACTTTCTCTATTGATTTCTCCACCTTGACCAAGAAAACTGACCCTCAAAGAGAGTGGAAAGATGCAGTCCTACTTTGTATCTAGAAGGAGGAAAGCATCAGAACAGTTGTCCACAGCCCTGTGACTCCCACAAACCCTGAATTTATGGACAATCCTCCAAGGATGCAGAACATCACTCCTGCTGTCTCTCACCTAATTTCTGACCTGTTACATTTAAGAAACACTTTGTAAAGTAATGTGAAAAGTTATTCCTTTGCTACAGATGTGGAAATGATGAATCATAATCTGGATACCTCAAAGTCCAGACCTGTGGCTGTGCACTTTCTTATGGGTGAAGACCGGATAGAGTAGTCTGGAGATGCAGTGAGGAGAGATGAAGAGGCTCCCACCTTCATTCAGGCCAACAGTTTCCTGTGCTTCAGAAAGGAAAGCCATTATAGACCATTAAAAATGACTTCTCTAGTTTGGTTTGTGATTTACATATATACTGATTTTGGCAAAAGTTTGATTGTTGGTCTTAAGAGTCTAGTATTATTGTGATTGTCACATTTTTTCTTATTGTTTCTAATTATTTTAATGTAGAATTGGTAAAAATTGCATCAGAAACCATTTGAAAATGTCATGAAGAATTCAGTAAACCCCACAAGGGGCTTGCATGCCATAAATATTCTTCCTTTTTTGTAACTTCTTCTCTGAATAAACTATTTACTTCCCTTGATCATGTGTCCAAATTTTAATTTTTAAAATGGCTAAAGATTAATAAGTATGAAATTTAGAATTTCTTTTTTTTTTTGTACCCTCATCTTTATTTGGGAAGGGGAGAAAGAAATCCCTGGGGCACCGCCCCCACCCTGCTGGTCCTGGCTAGACTCTTTCCTCCTTCAGTACTGGGGATTGAACCCAGGGCCTCTGCACTGAGCTCCATCCCCAGCCCCTTTCTGTAGTTTTTCAGAGGGCGTCTCGCTTAAGTAGCTAGGTTACCCATGTTGGGCTGAAATTTAGAATTTCTGAGCTAAACATTTCAGAGAAAGCTCTAGTTCTCATTGTACCCAGAATTAGTACAGTTGGGCCTGCCATGACAAAAATACCACAAACTGAGCAGTTTATCGTCCCACAGCTCTGGAGGCTTAAGCTCTAAAATCCAGGTTTTAGCAGTGTTGCTTCTTTCTGAGGGTGGTGAAACTTTTCTATCCTCATCTAGCTTCTGGGGTTTGTTGGCAATCTTTGACATCCCTCAGCTGATAGAAGAATTATCTTAATCTTTATATTCTTCTTTCCATTATGTTCTTCTTGTTTGTGTGTCTATGTCCAGATTTTCCTTTTTTATAAGGGATTAGTCCCCTCTACTCTACTATAAATTCATTTTAAGTAATTACATTTGTAGCACATATAGTTCCAAATAAGGTCACATTCTGATGTACTGAATATTAAGACTTACATGAACGAACTTAACTCATAATATTCACTATATGACAAATCTCCAGAAATAAAAATATAACCTACACACACACCTCACACACAGAGTTATGGACACCTTTCTAAGGTCAAAGAGGAAGCAGAGGTAAGAAAGAGAAGGAACTGTCACTGAGCTCTTCTAATATACTGGTGAATATTTAGGCATTTGAAGCACATTATATAATTTAATATGCAATCATTTGTTTCAGCACAAATGACAAAAACTGAAGGTCAAAGTAATTAAACTACTTTTCAAAGATCAGTTAGAAACTAGATTCATTTGTGAGTATGCCTGACTGCAAAGCCTGGGCACCTTCTCCACACTCTCCTTGCCTCTGCAGAGGTAAAGTGTTATCAATAATGGCAATCATGATAATAACAACAAGTCATGGAAATGTTTCATTGAAGCAATTGCTTCTTCTAGCATACAGCAAAAACAACAGATTGAAACAAGCAATGACATTTCTGACAGTGTGACATACTCAAAGCTTCAATTCTGCCTAAACATTCACAGCAGGATTTTCCTTCCTACAGCGACTAGAGGCTAATTTCTAGGAAATAAAGGGAGAAAAAGAAAACAACAGAATACAACTTAAATATTCATGAATGTCAAAAATTGCAAACCATTTCTGAGAACTTCCTAACAGTTACTGCAACCCTCTATGTGCCAAATTCTGATTCTGTCTAATTCGCTTCAACCTTACAACAGTCTTGTGAACTGCTGGCATTATTATCTCTATTTTACAAAGATGAAACAGAGGACACAGCCTAACTTCAAAGCCTGGTTCTCAAATGCTCTGCCCAGCCGTTTCTCACTGAACAGAAAAGTTAACCACCAAAGGAGAGTTCTGTGTGGCTCGAATTATGTTTTGTAGTCAGTAGTTTTCGGCTGGAGGAATTATGGTGATTAGAGCAAGGGATCTGGAGTCAGATAAACCTGAATTTGAATTTTGGCACCACTTCTTATTAATTACATGCCTTAGGTAAGTTGTTCAGACCTCTTGAGTCTTCTTTAGTCTTTCCAAAATGGGAGTAATAATATTTTTCCCATAGAGTTTATGATAATTAAAAATCAATGACAATCACTAGAGCAGAGGTAACAGCTATTAAATTTGTTATTACTACAAAGCAGATCAAACATTCTTTTGAGTTATATTCAGGTATCTCCATGTCTTAGGAATCTTCTCACGTGGAAACTTCTTACTCCATAAAGAAGAAGGTTCAAGTGCTTTTAGGAGAAGGACAGATACCTGTTAGAATAGGGATATCCCTGCTTATTTTTTTGTTAGAAATTGAAGTAAGACAATAACCTCAAAAACCAAGTTTTTCTAAGAAAAATTATTTTAAAATTTTCTTTCAGCTTCATTTGTATACAATTCGGTTTGAATGTCTAAAATATACATTTCGCCCTTTGAGTAGGGAAGACATGCCTTGACGTCTCTTCTGGCTTTCTTCTTAGGCTAAGATGAAGATGCAATATAAAGGAAGCAGGGGTCAGAGAAGAAGCAAAGCCAAGGGAATTTTATGAAGTCAGATATTAGAGCCCTTAGCAGCCCCTTTTCCACAGCATTGGGAGCACTAGAAAGTACCTCTAAGAAGCAGGTAGGAAGAAACCACTTTAAGAAACACTCAGACAGGAAACAACCAGAACATCAAGACTGATGGCCAGCTTCCCTGGCTTGGGCATGACATAAGCAGGCTGTAGACGTTTGAGAGAAGCTTGGTGTTGTAGTCAGAAGGATTTGGCAAGGGAATACATTAAATACAGGACACATAACTTATAAGATTATTTTATGATAATTACCCAAAGAGTCAAATGCAAAGGAGTGCAAAGTGAGTAACTGCACACTAGAAGCCCAGAGGATTCAGCTGAGGGCCTGGATCCCAGCAATTTCCCACACAAATCCAGCTAAAGACTTAGAGTCCAAGGCAATCTCCTGCTCAAGTCCAGCCAGTGGTCTAGAGCCCACGGCAATGTCTCATTCTTGTTCATATTGAAGTTCTGCACCTGGAAGCCCAAAGGCCAGTTGTGGAAGCCAGAAAACCTACTCCAGTCAGATGAAGAATTTGCGCCATCAACGTGAGGGATCCACATTGGAGGCAGGAAGTGATGCTCATGGTAAAGGTTGGAGCTCCCCTGATGAAACAGCAGCCATTCCCAGAGATAGTGAGGCCCCGAGCTCCTCCTCCGACCGCAACAGCATCAGGAAAACCATCTGCAGCAAGCTTCTCCTAGCAAATCAACGGGCCAAGATCTTCCCCTCCAGTTCTCTTTTTATGGCTACTGGTAACAGTCTTCAGGTGGATCCTCCAGGCCCAGACCACGCTGATGCAGTACAGCTGGGTGTTACAAGTTGACCATTAGCCAATCCGCCACACTTGGTTTGGGGATAATCACTACATTCACGTGGCTTCCGAGCAAGTGCATGGATGTGATAAGTGGGGGAGTCCAGATTAATGAGCCTTAGCCATGCTCCTGGTTCCCTGAAGCTCAGGGGCAGCTGAAGGCAGGCAGAGAAGTCAGCAGACATGGAGGCCAGAGACTAGCAGACGTCTAGAATTAGAGCAAAGGGTAGGGACCCTTACCCCCAAAACCTGCAGTAGAAAACACAAGGTCCACTAATAGGTGCTGGTATGTCTCCTTACATATTGGAACAACTCTAACTATGCTTTCTTTTCTCATAGCTAAAATAAAGCCTGTAGATCTTCCCCTTCCTTCTCTTTAGGAGCAGGGACAAAGAGCAGGACTCTTAAAGGCTGAAAATTTACCTGAAAGATGGTAGAGATCAAACCACAGATGAGACATTATTGGATTATACTATAAAATCTAGTGTATTTTCTCTTGCTACTTGGTGGGTTGGGCTTCCTAGGTTAGAAAAGAGAAGGCATGGGAAATAATGAATAAAGTTCCTTTTCATATCCTGTCTCCAGTAAAGGCTTGTATGGGTTGATTAGAAATATGTCTATAGAGGGTCGGTCGCGCGCCCTTCCAAGCTCCCGGATGTGCCTCCGCTTCTGGCGCGCTCCCGCGAGCGATAGGGGGCGCTCATCGAGGGTCTCTGTTGTTTACGGGCCTTTGTGGCTCTGTGACTGGAAGATAGAGCGAGAAGCCTAATGTACGGGTAGCCTCCACCCCCACCCCCTCCCGGCGGAGGTCTGGCCGCTCCCGCGCCCAGGAGCCTCCTTCCTCGCTGCCCTGACTGCGTCTGAGCGCCCCAGTGGCCTGGGCCCCCGAGAATAGTTGCCGAGACCCAGGTCATCGGGCTTCCGCGTGCCGGGTGACGGGAACTGGGATGTCCTGGGGGACCCCTGACCCCACTCCGAGCTCCAAAAATGCCGCGCGGTGAGGAGCAGGTGTGGCTATGAAGCGAGGGTCAGTTGTGCGTCTGAGCTGTGTTCACTGGCAATTGGAGATAGACACCTGTGATCACTGGCGTACAGCAAGTTTTCTGAACTGATCCAGGCCAATGTGCAATACCAACATGTCTGTCTACTGATGGTGCTGTAAGCACCTCCCAGATTCGTGCTTTGGAACAAGAGACTCTGGTTAGACCAAAGTCATTGCTTTTGAAGTTGTTAAAGTCTGCTGGTGCACAAAAAGGCACTTACACTATGAAAGAGGTCATATTTTATCTTGGTCAGTATATTATGACTAAATGATTATATGATGAGAATCAACAACATACTGCATATTGTTCAAATGATCTTCTAGGAGATTTGTTTGGAGTACCAAGCTTCTCTGTGAAAGAGCACAGGAAAATATATACAATGATCTACAGAAACTTGACAGTAGTCAATCAGCAGGAACCGTGAGACTCTGGCACATTTGTGAGAGCAGGTGTTACCTTGAAGATGAGAGTGAACAAAAGGACCCTGGGCAAGAGCTACAAGAAGAAGAACCTTCATCTTCAGATTTGGTTTCTAGGCTTTCTATCTCATCTAGAAGGAGAGCAATTAGTGAGACAGAAGAAAATTCAGATGAATTGTCTGGTGAATGTCAAAGGAAACGCCACAAGTCAGATAGTGTTTCTCTTTCTTTTGATGAAAGCCTGGCTCTGTGTATAATAAGGGAGATATGTTGTGAAAGAAGTAATAGCCGTGAAATGACAGAGACTCCATCAAATCTGGATCTGGATGACGGTGTAAGTGAACATTCAGGTGATTGGTTGGATCAGGATTCAGTTTCAGATTAATTCAGGGCAGAATTTGAAGTTGAATCTCTTGACTCAGAAGATTATAGTCTTAGTGAAGAAGGACAAGACCTCTCAGGTGAAGATGATGAGGTATATCGAGTTACTGTGTATCAGGCAGGGGAAAGTGATACAGATTCATGTGAAGAAGATCCTGAAATTTCCTTAGCTGACTATTGGAAGTGTACTTCATGCAATGAAATGAATCTTTCCCTGAGAAAGCCAAATTTGAAAACTCAACACAGGCAAAAGAGGGCTTGGATGTGCCTGATGGTAAAAAACCTGCAACAAATGATTCCAGAGAGTCATGTATTGATGAAGATAATGATAAAGTCACACAAGCCTCCCAGTCACAAGAAAGTGAGGACTATTCTCAGCCATC